CTAATCTGTGTTAATTTAATTTTTCTTTTATTTCAATACCTATTTCTTCTATATAGTGAAACAAATCTAATGATTAATTTTGATTTTTCTTTAAGGAACATTGAACACTTGAGTCCGTACCAACTTCAAGTACTCCTTCAACAAATCAAACAAAATATCCAATATCAACAAGGGCTCCAAGGACAAGGGTACTTGCCAGTTGAAATTTTGGAAGAACAACAGCAACAACAGCAACAACAAATAATGGGACAAATCTACCAACATCAAATTGGACAAAGCCAATTAACCCCTCTTAATCGTTTCTTCTACAACATGGGAGTATTGAAAGGACAAGGATACTACTACCCACAAGTTCCACAACAATTAACAATTCCTCAAATCCAAGGACAATACCAACACATTGTTCCACAAAACCAATATGTAAACCAACAACAAATTCAAAATATGGTACAATCAGGACAAAACCATGTACAGTATCCTTACCAGCAAATCCCCCAATACTCTGCTCAACAAAAGGTAAACCAACAACAAATCCAAAATATGGAACAATTAGTACAAAACCATGTACAATATCCTTACCACCAAATTCCCCAATACTATGCTCACCAACAAGTTTACCCACAAGGATATGTTCAACATGAAGTACTTCCCCAAGTTGGACAAGCACTTTTAGCTCACCAACAAAACGTTTACCAACAATACGGTTACGGAAAAGTCCCAATGGTCTATTAATCAATTTGATTTTTTAATAGTTGTTACTTTTTTGTTAAATAAAGTATTTTTTTTTAATAATGTATTTTCATTGATTTGTCAATAACATTCCACTGAGAACTGTCATCATACAAGCCATACCTTCTAATGAAATTAATTGTAGTACATGGCAAGACTTTGATTCGTCAATATTTTGTATAAAAATATCTTAATAAACAGGAATAAGTACAAAGTAGCATAATAAGTTGGTTAAGGTAAAATATTAAATACCTATATATAGAGATGTATAAAATTTCCATAAAATTTCCATAAAATTTCCATAAAATTTTCATAAAATTTTCATAAAATTTTCATAAAATTTCCATACAATTTTCATAAAATTTTCATAAAATTTTCATAAAATTTTCATAAAATTTTCATAAAATTTTCATAAAATTTTCATAAAATTTTCATAAAATTTTCATAAAATTTTCATAAAATTTTCATAAAATTTTCATAAAATTTTCATAAAATTTTCATAAAATTTTCATAAAATTTTCATTAAATTTTCATAAATTTTTCATAAAATTCTCATAAATTTTTATAAAATTTTCATAAAATGTTTATATAATGTTCATAAAATTTTATGAAAATTAAAAGAATTTCCGAAAATAGGAAAACAATCGAAGGTGATGAACTTAAAGTGCGTCCCAGCACTTTGAAAACCGACAACGACGCGTAGAAAAACAGTGAAATCATTAGAAAGAGTCGACATCTAGGTGCGAGAATGATTGCAGAAAAAATAAATATTAACAATGAGACATTGTATCAAATTCATTACAAGGTCTTCCACATCAAAAAAGTGTGTGCGAAAAGTGTTCCATAAACCTAATACGAGAACAAAAAGACGTACGAAAACACATTCTGCAACGAATCATACATTTTTCAGTATGATCCCGAAACCAAAAGCCAATTCTTGTGCTGAAAGTCCCATTTATCGCCAAAAATTAAAAAAAAAAACAAACAAAAATAAGCAAGTCATAATATAAGGTCATGTTGTTATGATGTTAAGGGTATTACCCTTCTCGAATGGGTACCTGCATGTCAAACCAAGTTTTTCAAATGGAGGTTCTGCAGAAATTGAGGGAAAGTGTACGGAATAAGCATCCAGACCTGAGACAGAACAACGTCACCCACCGTATTCGCCGGACTTAGGCCACTGCGACTACTGACTATTTCCGAAAATGAAATAATCGATTTGAGAGTAAAGAGAAGGTAAGAGACAAAACGGCAACCTCACCTTAGAAAACTTCCAGCAATGTGTCCAGTAATGGGAAAAACGTATGCAACGCTGTGTATATATAGGAAAGGAAAGTACCAGTTAATGTGCATTATTGTGAAAATAAAGTTCATGTTTCACACTAGTCCTATAATTTAATTTTCAAATTTTGTACGAATGAAGACACCGATAAACAATTTTCTTCAAAAACAAAAAAAATCCACGCTTAAAAAATAGCCTATTTTACGTAACTTTACTGGGTTTGTTTTAGTTCAAACAGAACCTGTGATTCCTGTTCTCAAATACAGTTGACGAATTCATTTTTCAAAAAAACTTCACGATAATATAATAACCAGTTGAGCTAAATGAGTGTAATTAATTGATTATGAACTAGTTCATGAAAGAACCAAAACAAGCCTATTGTGTATTTGTAAATATTTAAAAAGTCTTCCTTTTTTTCTTTTCTAAAATGTAGCATGTTTTTTGTTTCTACAACTATATAGGAAAAACACAAAAATAAAATTGTTACTTATTTTTTAAAATAACATTTGTACTACATATATTTCGACTAACGAATACCTTCTAATATTCCTTGGCACAAGTGCGAGTGAAAGCTACAGAGAGTTGGCATTGGAGAGAGCGGTAAAGGAATGATGTCAACGTTGCCATTTATAAGAACCGACCTCGTTGAAACATTGGCTGCGTCGTACAGGCTGGCATCACTGTTATTGTCCTAGTGCTTGGGCTCTCTGTAGTTTTCACACGCACTTGTACCAAGGGATATAAGAAGGTATTCGTTGACAGTTGAGATAGTATACAAGGCGTCTATTAGTGCATAATTGTTCATTATTTCAATTGTGTTATAGACACGCAAACAAGTTTCAAATTAAAATTGAAATGATTAAAAAAATACGTATTTTTAAAATATTTTTTAATTAACTGGTGGTATAACATACAGAATATTCCATTTAAAAAATTGAGAAAATCATAACCTCGCATTTTGACACACACTATACAGGGTGTACCAATAAAAACTCCCAGGCCGGATATTTTGGTAAGTAATAGAGATATTTTAGTTCTGTAAAAACCAGTTCACAGAGCACTAAGAGAGCTTCAGTTTTAGATATAAATTAATTTTAAATAGGTCAATATGTAGATGGCGCTGCGCTCAATAATTTTTTTTCGATGGGAGGACCTTTCTTGTGTAGCGCATCTTGTAAAAATGCATTTTTAAGCAGATTTTGTTTTATGAACTAATTCGATATATCTAGCAATTTTTGATATACGGAGTGGATCACTTAAAACAGTTTCATCCTGTTTTTCAGCATTAATCATTGGATTTTAAGAAAATGCTAAAACAGGTCGATTTTTATTCCAAATTAAAAACATTTTTACAATACAGACATCTGTCATGTGTCAACCTCCTCCCTTGTACTTCTCCACACCTTAATTTTAAATAGGTAATGTACCATGTATGGCACATCATTGAAAAGGTAACTTAATGGGGGATTCAGAAATATTTCTGTACATTGCGTTACTTTAATTTTATCGTTTTCTAGCGGGATAAAAAACTACTACGTATTATAGAGTGTGATACTACAATGTGTAGTACATAATTAAAAAGGTAATTTTATGGGGAATTTAGAAATATGACTGTTCATGGTGATACTTTTAATTGTACCGCCCTCTATCGGGATAAAAAACTACGTATTTTAAAGTGTGCCACCTTATTTGAAAGTAAATTTAATTACTAATTTAATGTACCACATAACATTAATTATTAACATAATATTAATATAAATATCTATATTGCACTTGCAATAGTTTGAAAATTAGTCATGCATTATTTTAAACATTATTGCTAACTTTATTTTGTTGCAAGTGCAATATGGAAATATTTATATTAATGTTATGTGGTGCATTAAATCAGTAATTAAATTACCTTTCAAATGAAGTGTCACACTTTATAATACGTTACAGATTTTTTATCCCGATAGAGGGCGCTAAAATTAAAAATATCGCAATAAACTGTCATATTTCTGACTTTCCCATAAAATTACCTTTTTAATGATGTGCCGTACATGGTACATTCCTTATTTAAAATTAAGGGGTTGGAGAAGTGGAAGGGAGGGGGTTGACACATGACAGATATCTGTATTGTAAAAATGTGTTTAATTTAGAATAAAAATCAACCTGTTTAAGCATTTTCTAAAAATCCAATGATTAATGCCGAAAAACAGGATGAAACTGTTTTGAGTGACCCACTCTGTATATCAAAAATGGCTAGATTTATCGAATTAGTTCATAGAACAAAATTTGCTTAAAAATACATTTTTACAAGATGCGCTACATAAGAAAGATCCTCCCATCGAAAAAAAAATATTGAGCGCAGCGCCATCTACATATTGACCTATTTAAAATCAATTTATATCTAAAACTGAAGATCTCTTAGCGCTCTATGAACTGGCTTTTACAGAATTAAAATATCTCTATTACTTACCAAAATATCAGGCCTGGGAGTTTTTATTGGTACACCCTGTATACAACACAACAAATGAGTGAAGCCTATTAAAATTGCCTAATCAAATATGTATAACTCCCGCAGGGTGTTTTACTTTAAAAATGTATAGGTTTGGTCAGCCCCTTGTTTATGGACTACCCTGTATATTTAAGAATAATTGTAAAATGTGGTTATAGAAGTTTTATTTTATTTGAAATTTGTTTGCGTGTCTATAACACAAATTGAAATATTGAACAATTACGCACAAATGAGACACCCTGTATAGGTATTTAATATTTTACCCCAGCCAACTTACGTGCTACTTTATTTGCAGAGATTTATTTTAGCCACATATAATGAACATCATTAGAAGATGGTTTGTACGATGATTACAAAATTAAACATGAGCCTCAAATCATGATGAGTTCTCAGTGGAAGGTGACGTTATTGTCAAATTAATAAAAATACATTATTTAGAAAACATACTTTATTTAACAAACAAAAGTAACAACTATTAACAAATCAAATTAATTAATAGACCATTGGAACTTTTCCGTAACCGTATTGTTGGTAAACGTTTTGTTGGTGAGCTAAAAGTGCTTGTTCAACTTGGGGAAGTACTTCTTGTTGAACATATCCTTGTGGGTATACTTGTTGGTGAGCATAGTATTGGGGAATTTGGTGGTAAGGATATTGTACATGGTTTTGTACTAATTGTTCCATATTTTGGATTTGTTGTTGGTTTACCTTTTGTTGAGCAGAGTATTGGGGGATTTGCTGGTAAGGATACTGTACATGGTTTTGTCCTGATTGTACCATATTTTGAATTTGTTGTTGGTTTACATACTGATTTTGTGGAGCAATGTGTTGGTATTGGTATTGTCCTTGGATTTGAGGAATTGTTAATTGTTGTGGAACTTGTGGGTAGTAGTATCCTTGTCCTTTCAAAACTCCCATGTTGTACAAGAAACGGTTAAGAGGGGTTAATTGGCTTTGTCCAATTTGATGTTGGTAGATTTGTTCCATGATTTGTTGTTGTTGTTGTTGTTGTTGATTTCCCAAAATTTCAACTGGCATGTATTCTTGTCCTTGGAGCCCTTGTTGATATTGGATGTTTTGTTTGATTTGTTGAAGGAGTACTTGCTGTTGGTAAGGACTCAAGTGTCCAATGTTCCTTCAAGAAAATCCGAAATTAATTATTTTGATTTTTTTTCACTATATAAACTAAGTAGGTGTTGAAAAAAACAGAAATCAATAGAAAATAGATAAATATAAAAATATAACTAACACAGATGGGAAAACAAAATTGGAATTACAACTAAATTATAAAAGTAATCAGGAAAATTGTTAGTTTCATAAATTGAGAAATTAAAGTTTGAGTAGGTAGTGAGAAAACAATTATTACTTAAGTATACGAACAAAAATACAAATTTTTTCTAAACTTACCATAATCCTTGGATTCCAGAATTTTTTAAGATTGGCAAGTTGTTCTGGTATTGGTTCAGTCCATGTACATTTTCAACTGGTACGACTCCACTGAAATTAAAACAATATTAAAAAATTATTTAAAAATTAAATAATTAAGTCATATTCTTCAAATTCAATCACTTTAAAGTGATTTTAAGCAAAAAATGCATAAAGATTTTTGTCCATTTTGTTCTTGTTTGAAGTCTGTAATAATTAAATATTTTCTCACCTAACTTGTGGCAATTGGCTAACCTCACCTACAGGGTAAACATTTTGGTGCAATTTTTGGCTCACAATGTTGCTCATAACATTCTTAGCTTCAACTTGTTTTATTTGTTCAACCATATGTAATTGGTCCAAGGTTGTCAAGGATTCCAAGATGGCTTCGTGTAAGTATCCTTGTTGTACCAAAGCTTGAATCTTGCCCAACAAGATTTGGTAGGTGGGTTCATCTACAAGTCCTTGGTATTCACGGAAGATGTGAGTAAGAATATCAGCTTGGGTAATCTGTTCCTTTGGGATATTCTTGAAGAACCTGGCATCTAAGATGTTGAAGTTAACGTTCTTGATGTTGGCGGTTTCATCAACTTGGATTTTTTTGGTGATTCCATTTTGGCTCTTGAGGATGATGTTGACTTTTGTTGGATCAATTACGGACTTGGAGATGACGATTTCACTGCCGTGATTGCCGACGATGGTAATATCATCTCCTATAACTGTCACACGCTTTTGGGCGGTGAGTGGACTTGAGTAGCAGAGAGCTACAAGAGCAAGAAGAACTAATACCTTCATCTTTGTGCAGTGTTAGTGAATGTGCTTTCTCTATATCTTAGCTGGGTTTTTATACATTTTTTTTTCTAAATTGTTTACACTTTTTTAAAGTTATCACACTTGACAATATGTGTGGAATAATCTCTAATTGCGTAGGTCATCGTACACGAAAAGGACACTGATTTAATTTATTAAAAACATTTTTTTTTAGAATTTTATCATTATAGCCAAATTAATATTTGAAATTAAATTATTCGTTTTTTTTATAAATTAATTAAATGATATGATTTAACATATAATTTTTTACTATTGAGAAGTAATATTACATTAAAAAATATTTTTTTAATTTGATTCCTGTTACAGTTACTACTAAATGCAAAAAACTAGTGTTTTTCATTTGCAAGAAGATTTTTAATAGTCTTAACAGATTATCGTATATGGTCGTGCGATCCATATGTATGAAATAAATTTATTTATTAAGTACTTTTGAGAAAAAACTGAAAGAGGTAATTTATATTCTTAATTTGACAATTATTATAGTACCCTCCATTCTGAATTATGAGCACCTTCTCGAGCATTTTAAATAAGAAAGGGGGTTGTGTGGCACATTGTTTGAAAGGAATTTTATTTCTCTCTTTAGTAATATAAAGTTTTTTAAATTTTGTGCAATTATAATGGAGAAAATTAATTTTGAAAATGTAAAATTAGGATAATGTATTTATCAGAAAAGTTTATGTAGAATGAAGGAAATAATCTTACAATTTTATAATTACATTTACTCATACGAGGTATTGAAATGAAGGTATGGTTCCAACATTCCAATTAAGCTTAAAATAAAATATATTAATTTTAAAGATTAGGGTAATCTGAAGCAATTTAAAACTTTTAAAATCATCATAGGAAATTAGAAAAATACTTCACAAAGGGCTGCTGGTACTGAAAAAACGTAAAAATATTAAATTAATTAAATGAAAACTTTCCTATTTCGGTAATTGAAATAAAAGGAGGCAAGCTATAATAGATAATAATCGACAAGAAGTCTACATCTTGTATGTAACCAGTCCGGAAACGACAAGCCGGCTATCATCGAGGGTCTAGAAGATATCTAAGGTCTGTTCCAACAACGATCCAAAACCAGTTATTGGCACCAGGATTCTGCGCTGTATATAATTTGGGGTCCTAATAATCTACTGCGCAGAACTTGGTATCAATGACTGGTTTCTGATCGTTGTTGAAACAGACCTATATTCGTTGGTGAACTTCAACGCAGAGGTACATGAATGTGGTAGTTGAGAAAAAGATCCTTTTCTTGAGAACTGGATATATTCTGGTGAAACTTCTCGAAATAGTAAGGAATGGTATATGACGCCCGTGACGAGAATCCAATTAGGCTCTTTAAGTAACAAATGCCAGTGTGGTATCCTTTATAAGGAGCGAAACTTGTTGGGTGTATTATTACTGGTAAGTGACGGAATTGTAACTTTAATAAGAGTTGCTATGGAAGCGACACTGCTTTCAAACTTGTTTTAAACAAACACTAACTTGTAATCTGTCAGGGTATATAACACTGTGAATAATCGCTCAAACGAGTTTGGCAAAAATAATGGACCTACATTTCAAAGCATAGCACGAAACCTCCAAGACCATCTCACCGAGATATATCTTCCAGAAGCCATATAAAGTTATAACTTCAGATTCTTAATCCTAATATAAAATGGGCTTTGAGCAACAGAGCTAACGGGGATTCGCATAGCAGCAAAAGAAATCACCAGAAACAATATCACTGGAAGGAACATGTTCATCTATACAGATAGGTGACAAGCACTACTCACCCTGAAAAGACCACGAATTTATTTAGGGTTAGTACTAGAATGTCACAAAGCTTTGGCCGAAGTATTCATCAACAATGTGGTCACCTTAAGATGGATCAAAGATCACGCCACATCGAATGGTAACCGTCTTGCTGATTCACTAGCCAAGAAAGCAGCCAACCAAAGACTTTTTGGACCTGACCCTTCTATTGGCCTCACAAAATCGGTAGTGACAGAACATTTCCTTGTGAAATTTAAGGAAAGATGGGATGAAACAAGAAACTGCAGAGTTGCCAAGGAGCTCTTAAGTTATTCTAACAACACTGTAGCAAAAAAATACTTGACTATGACTAGACATAATCTGCATCTAGTCATAGGCATTCTGACTAGTTATTGCCAAGTACGGAAGCATCTCCAAATCATGGGGCTGTCAGAAACCTCACTCTGTAGAGGGTGCGAATAAGAAGATGAGACCATCGAGCATATCCTTTACGATTGCTAGACGCTATCATTTATTAGAAGATTTATGTTTGGCGAGTATCGGCTAACACCGGCCGATATAAAAGAAGCACCTCTTGTCGACACTGTCAACTACATTAAATCTGTAGGCTGGCTCACGAGCTAGGAGGTGCCTATCATTTTAGGAGGATGCACAAAGGGCCTATTGAGGCCTAAGTGCCATGGGCGTAACCCACCTTCCACACATTATAAATAGAGAGACCTCCAAGACCGTCTTGAGCTGTACGTTCTTCGTAATGATGGGTATATAGAGAATATCATTGGCTATTATAATAGATACCAACTTTGTCATTTTTGTTAAATCTGTTAATATTTATAAGTGCGCAAAATATATATTTTCGCTTCAGTCCTGTATATTTCTGGTCATACTGTATTTGAGTGCACAAAGTAGTAGTAATAGAAGCCAAATATATATTCACTATATGCATGATCTTCCAGTAACACAATCGCAGAAAACTGGAGAAAAATGGAGGAAACTGAAGAAAAACTGAACTTGTCGAATATCTTGTACTACTGCGTAGTAATGCTAGACAAAGTAGTGTCTAGTACGCAAGCGCAAAAGTATTTTGGCGAATGAAACATTAAAAATTTTTACAAAATTAAAAAATTAACCTAATACTATAACATCGGTTGACCAAGAGTAAGAAATTGAATGTATTTGGTAAATAAGTACTGATTTTGAAAATTTTATTTTCGCCTTTATGAAAATGGCCGCATTTAAGCAGTTGCATAACCTCTACGAATTCATTTAAAGATAGTTTCTATTCATTCTATATTAACGTTACATTAATATTCAAATCTACTATTTTAGGAAGTGTGGTTACCAACAAAACGCCAGGTTTCGTAGTGTTTGGCTGCAAGAACTATTCTTAAAAAACAAAGGGAACCGACATTAGAAGTATTTTGGATTTCCGAAACCACAGAGAGAAATTTGTCTAAGTATGTATAGTCTTTCTAGACACAATCCAACACGGCAGAATAACCGATCAGTACCGATTTCAAAGGAACCGCACACATGGGCGTACCCTTTTATTATTAAAATTAAGTAAATTTAATAATTATGTTTAGTTCTTTCATTAAACTCGTTCCGAACTCTTACCGACAATTTTGTTTGATCTGTCACAGGCGTAGATACCTCATTTTAAAAATTTAATATTTTTATAAATACGAGAAAGTATTCGTTAAAAGGCGATCGAATGATTATAAATTTGGGCGACGTTATACCCGTTATTTAGATAGATGCACTTAATTGTAGTCCTACTTGAAACTTAAAAAAATCATTATTATAGCTCGTTAATTTGCTACAACTGAATATTAAATTATAAAACGTAAATAGACGAGTAAAATGTACCTGCCTGTAAGGGCGTTTGGTTCAAACAGGGTACCAGACGTGAACGGACCCCTTTTGGTACCCCATTCGTTTTTTTTTCGGAAAACGAAATTTCAAAGCAAAAACCATAAAGAAAAATAAATTCTTTGCAAATAAAACAAAACTATTAAATAATTTAGAAAAATTAATTTTTTAAAAGAAATAAATGAATACGAACTAATAAAATGTTAACAATGAATTAATTTAATGACTCTCGGATTACCAATAATGAAAAATAAGAAAGTTAATTCGAATCTAAGTTTGGATATATAACTACTGGAGCTATAGAAGGTAAAATATGATATTCTTTTTCCTTTTTAGGACGTGACTAATGCAAATTTTCCAAACGTCAGTCAAAGACGGATCTTTAAAAACGCCATTAATATTTTCCAAATCACATTTGTTAAGGTAGGTGCAAAATTATTACGTCTCAGTTTTTGTTTAACTGAAGACCAAACTAATTCAATTGGATTAAGTACACAATATTAAGGTGGTAACCTCAATACAGTATGATCTTTTGCAAAATTATCAATTTAATACTGTATTGGAACATTCTTATTTTAACAATTTGTAACAATTGTGGTTTTGTTTTTACGGAAGAATGTTATTATCTTTTGAATACTTTGATATATCTGATTTCTTAGAGTCACTACTTGGCTTCTTGTGAATTTGCCGGGAATGATATGGCGTATTGTCCATTACAATGACTGAATTAGTTGGAATATTCGGTAAAAGTTGTTCAACAAACCAGTTCTTAAAAACTGCTGCATTCATATCTTCATGATAAACCAGCAGAGCTTTATTGACATATTTTGCTGAAAGTAGCGAAGCGTTTGCTACAAAGCCATTTTCATTTCCGGCATGTAAAATTATGACTCTAGCATCTACATCTACCTCAAAAGGTCTCCAGAAAGCATCTCGTATAACACCGAAAAATAAAAACAGTTTATAACAAACGCTTTGGGAAAATTTTTCAAACCGTGCACTCTACTGATCAAAGATAAAACAACTAAAGCAGCCAGGCGAGCCTGCAATTCTGGCCGCTCACTTGTGGACTTAACATCAACTGTAGGTGCGTAGATGTTTAAAACTTAAGTGTGCCACATCAGAGGCTATACCAAGATGGTTCACGCTTATTTGCAATGTGAGGGTATAGAATTTATAGCATTCGCATGGCATGTAACGCGAATTATTTCGCAATCCCGGTACAACACCTATATTGGATTGAGTCGGGAAACACTATAACCAAGAATGCATATTTTAAATTCAGCATGACTGTAATTCCTAATTGAAGTAAAATATTTTTTATTTGAATCCTGGCATTCTTAAAGTAACATTGTCTTGTTCAATTTTTGAATCAAAAGCACCAACGTTGTTGATTTAAAAAAAAAATAACGATTTTTTAGCATGCGTACTTAAAAATTTCTTAAATAAAGATTGAAAAATGCTTATTTTTTGCTTAATATGAACATTAA